AAGAGGGAGGAGAGCCACAGCCACTGGTGCCTTTTGCTGACATACCATGGGTTCCAACCCAAGGTTTTCACCATCACCCCACTCTCAAGGCTACACAAAACTACCGCTAAATTATTTTTGCCTCTCCAGATGGGCAGAACAAGATCTTGTTCTCACTCATCTGAGGCACGTGTCACGCTTTTAAGCTGCCATGGCAACAAGCTTTATGGAAAAAGAAATGGTTGTCCCACTAAGCCTGAACACAGACAGATGAGGCCTGTCCCCCAATTCCCTGGCACAATCCAGATTCATCCCTCCAAGATAATGGCAGGAAGTTCAGGGAAGCTTTAGGGAAGAGAGTGAGTGGTCCAAGTCAGCCTCTCAACAAACTAGACCAAGCAAGCAATGAAACCCCACTGCCAACCCTGGAGACCCCCTCGCACTGCTGGTGCCATCCCATGCAAGGAAGTTTGGTACCTTAGTGCCGTGGTAGAAGTCATCCACACAGGTAGCGTTCATGAAGGTCTGGTGGAAGTGGGTGCTGGTGTCAATGCCCCCCGGGATCACCAGCTTCCCGGTGGCGTCGATGACCTTGGCCCCACCAGGAATCATGAGCTCACGGCCCACCTGCTGAATGATGCCGTTCTCAATGTAGACGTCCGCCTCCAGGGTGCAGTCATCGTTGACTACCTTCCCCCCCTTGATGAGGATCCGCATCGTAGCAGCGTTGGCCAACATGGCTCTGGAAATGAAGAAGGCAGGCCACATGTCAGAGGCAGCCTTGCAAAATAAGCTTCATGCACTCCCAAGCTACAACTCCACACCCGTAGGGTAAATTAGACCACTCCCAGTTTCCCAGGTTCATGGGAGCCATACAATAGGGTTGGGGAACATGGTTCTGAGAACTGTGTTTCTCTCTCACACTGGCTTGAAAGTTCCATTCAAGGACTACCAAATTTCCTGAAATTCTGAAGTTACCTAGCTTCAAAAAAAGAACCAAGATGCACCAAAGATTACCACAGAGTGATTTCCTAGGCATAAGGAACTCCAAAGAATATTCCCACCCTTATACTGCTTCATTAATCTGGATTTAAGAACTGCACTAAGCTTGTAGGATAGATACTGGAGATCATACAACCTCTCAGTTTCTCAGCCTCAGAACAAGAATTTCTTCCTCCAGTTACCATACACACTCACACTAGTAACTTCATATGCATACCATACAATATCCATCCCCTTCCTCCATCACCAATGAATACCTGTGCAAAATGTCTAGGAAAAAGCTGGACTTGGCAGAACCTTTGGTTCACATCAAGTTTGTGTCATTCTTGGATGATGTCTTTCTGAACCAGACACCTGTCTTACCCCTGGCTCATAAAAGCACTGGATATGTGACTCTAGACAGAAGACAGAAACTGGAAACTAGAGCAGTCCAATTTGGCTTTTGGTACAAAAGAACATACACACAAACAGAGGACATTTTGATGCCATTGCTCCCGTATTGCCAAGTCTGGATTTCCACATCAAAGCCTGCAAGCAGAACTACTTATGCAAGGAAAGAATACACAGCCTACTTAAACAGGCAAGATCCAGACTGTCTGCAGAAAAGTTTGAGAATCAACAAGAGACAAACACATGAAACTACTGTACAGAGTCAGGCCGTTGATTTATTTAGGTATTGTCTACTCACAACTGGCCACAGCTCTCCAAAGTTAGAGGCCCTCCCCAGCACTGCAACCCATGAATCTTCAACTGGAGATACAAAGGATTGAACCTAAGACCTTCTACATGCAAAACACATGCACCAACCCCTGAGGCAGAACCCCTACCCAGGTCCACAGACCACACGTGCAAGGAGTACACTGTCTTGATCTTAAAGAGACGCCTATCAGTTAAGATCCATTTTTCAAGTCCTACTCTCTGTGCCCTGCCTGCAGACACGAGGGAGGCAGTAATCAAGGCAGAATTTCCCAGTAGTGGCACCGCAATTGTGTTTTATACCTTTTTATACATGGCTTGGGTTGAATAGTTTTTATGGTTAACTAGTGATTTTATTTTATCATGCTTTATTTTGTAAGCAGCTTTGAGCAGGCCTTTGGAGAGACAGCATATGCATTCTCTAAATAAAAATATACTTGATAGTATAAAATGCAGGTAAACGAGGAAAGAGACGGACAGAGGCCCTTATGAACCCTAGGAAGTCCTACCCTTTGAACTGTTACCCATATGCTTACAATCACTTCTCCACAGCCAGGATGGTTTGGAACTTGTTTTGTTAGAGAACTTCCAGATGCAAAGAGCATCAGCAAAGGGACTGACACCCTGACAAAGGAAAATACAACTAGCAGCTCTCAAGAACTCGAAAAGCACACATGCTGTAGTGCCACCACAGATGCCTGGATGAGCAATACAAAATGCGTTTGTTTATAAAGCTATCTGTTGGGCACAAGCCCTTCAGCGAGATTTATAATACAGTTATTTACAGAAGTACACAACACAGATACAGTCCAGTACTTACGCAGCAGATGCATCTTGTAGGAAACAAAGCGATCTAAAGGGGTGATGGGATACATCGCTACCCATTACCAGTCTCGGTCTATTGTCATTTTTATGCATGGGGAGGGAATTCCTCTGTGTGGGAAACACTAATGAAAAGCTCAATTTCTACAGGATGTTACTCTTATAGGCAGAAGCAGACTCACTATAAAAAGTGAGTGCCCACCATTCCTCCATATAATGGATCTTTTAACAACCTATGCTGTTGTTCAATCAAAACCAGTTTATTCTTCCAACTAACCATACAAGGCAGACTGGAAGAGAGTCCATTTCATAATAAAAAGTATCTGGAGCTGATAAACCACTGTGTAATCAACCACCTTGGCCAGAAAGGGCTGACTGGACCAGGAGTCTATAATTACCCACATGAGTTGATCCAGTGAAGGGTATTTTCCTACTGGTGATCTTTGCCATTGTTTCTATTAAAGTTCAAAACCAAAAAAATTCTGTTGAAGTTCAAAACCGAAAATATATTAACTAACAATATTAATCTAACATTCCTCAGCCATGAAAAACACATGCCTAGGGAAAAGGGCAAACAGCTTCAAATACATTTTGTTCAAATCTGATGTCAATAGGAATTCTTGCCCTGTACTGCTGGATAAAAGGCTGCCCTGACTTCTTCTGTCAAAAATGCAAGTAATTTTATCGGCAAGCGCTCAACAAAACGGTCAGGGAGCTTTTGGAGATTTGACATGTCAGCAAGACAAGGACCAGATGAAGAAGTCTTCTTCCACTATGGAAAGCACCACTGGATGAGATGTGCCAAACATAATGGAACCAAGATAAGCTTTCCACCAGCTACCACTACAGAACGGGCCTTCTAGAGTTTGCTCAGAATCACTGAATTTTCTTCCACTTCCACTCAAGCCATCATTGCTCATTGCCCACCATTCCTTGGTCTAGCCTGGAGACTAGACAGCACAAGCAAGCATTTGAGAGCTACCACCTGAACGATCACCCTGTTCAATGCTTCCACAGCAGTTTCAACAGAATAGCTGATACCCTCTTTCATGATGTGCGAATCATTCAGATCCATAAGAATGTACTGACACCCCACCTCCACCCTTCAGAGAGCTATAAGAAGAAGTGAACAGTCCATGAGAAAGGCGTCACTGTAGGCTTCCCCCACCCATCCCACCTTGCTCCAGCAAGCTCAAGGCATATTACACGGGTTTCTCTACCCCATTTTGTCCTTGCAACCCAGTGAGAGGGGCTAGGTTGAGTGTGAGAGGCCCAAGGTCACCAAGCAAAGTCCATGGCAGAGTGGGGATTCAAACCTGGGTCTCCCAGATCATACTCCAGCACTACCTACTACAACACACTGGTTTTTCCCCTCCCACCCTTCCTTTAAAAAGCACAGGGTACACAGTCCCTTCCCCAACAATGACCCTGTGAAGTACATTAGACTGCGAGAATGATGGGCTCATGGACTACCAGAATGGGGAACTGAACCCAGGCTTCCCCACTAATTTGTTGACACGCTAACCCTTGCACAGCAGAAGCATTAGGCAAGCCAAATTTCTCTTCCTTCTCTGCCTAGGAAGTCTGCCCAAAAAAACGTGCTCTTGGAGGCAGTGGTAGGACACCTGGTTTGTCCCCCTTGCTGCCCACCCACAGCCCCTTCCAAGTGGCATCCTTGGAGTGGCAGCAAAGAGACCACAGTGACTACCATTACTAGTTAGTTTATTTTTTAAAAAAATTCTATCTTGCTCCATTTCCTGCAAGCAGGACTCAGGACGGCGTACAACATATAGTATATATCAATGCATAATGGAATACATACAATACAGCTAAAATCTAGTGCTTTCAACAATTTAATCTACTGCTGGGTGGTGCCACATATCTGTTCCACAGACGGCTGGATGGCTAACATATCTATTCTGCAGATAGCTAAGATGGCTGGTATATAATCCACTTTCCACCCATAAGGAGGATCTTAAACATAAAAGAATAGAGGGGGGGCAAAACCTGGGAGGCCACTGTTCTCTCTAACCGTCGCTGTCCTCAACCAAGAAGAAGAAGAGATTGGGTAGTGAAGGGCGGGGTATAAATCCAAATGAGTCTCAGAGCGGCTTACAAACTCCTTTCCCTTCCCCTCCCCACAACAGACACCCTGTGAGGTAGGTGGGGCTGAGAGAGCTCTGACAGAAACGGCTCTTTTTCAAGAACAGCTGTGCCAGAACTATGGCGTGCCCAAGGTCATATGGCAGGTGCAAGTCGAGGAGTGGGGAATCAAACCCGGTTCTCCCAGATTAGAGTCTGCGCACTTAACCACTACACCAAAGTGGCCTGAATTGCCAGGTGGAACATCTCAGTCTTACAGGCCCAGTGGAACTGAGCTAAGTCCTGCAGGGCCCAGATCTCACTGGGGAGAGAGTTCCACCAGGCTGGGGCCAGGGCTGAAAAGGCCCTGGTAAAGGACAGCTGGACCACTTTGGGATCAGGGACTACCAGCAAGTTGGTACCAGCTGAGCATAATGCTCTCTGAGGGGCATATGGAAAGAGGCGGTCCCACAGATATGATGGTCCCAGACCGTTTAGGGCTTTGAAGGTAAGTACCAAAACCCTGAACCTGATTCAGAATTCAGTCTGGAGCCAGTCTGGAGCAACTGACAGAGCACAGGTCGTATGTGTGCTCTCAAGGGGGTTCCCATAAGGGCCTGTGCAGCTGCATTCTGGACCAGCTGAAGTTTCCGGAGCAAGTTCAAGGGCAGCTCTGCACAGAGCGAGTTACAGTACTCTAATATTTGCCTCCATAACCTTCCAACTATCCACAGTGAGGTTGTATGATGAAGTGGAATTTTAAATTAAAAAGTGCAGCCTTGGGTGTTGTGGTGAAACAGCCCTGTTGATCTGCAAGCACCATTCCATTCAGCCCTCCAAAGAGTCCAGGCACCCAGCAAAAGTCTCCTCCTGGCTCTCCCAGCCCTTGGAGGAATTTCTCTCTCACTTCTCCTTCCATATGTTGCTACCAACTAGTTATTTTTGGAATTATCCACCAAGAGGGCCAGTACCTATTACACACGTCTTTCCTGGAAAGAAAGCTGCAGCTACATTGCCATGTCCAGAAATGGGTTCTGTTTTCATGCTGAACTCCTCGATTTTCCATGACCACTTTTGAAGCTTTATGTTTGAATTATTCATGGTCTGCAACCGCTGTAAATTTCTTTAGGGAGGTT